TCCATACATTTTCCGACCCCCGTCCGTCTCATCATTTACCCCCTGACCCGAGTATGTGGTTTCCAAGCGGGGTAATGACCTTAGCGCATTGTCTTACTTTATAGTACTAAAATTGCGCCATTCCGTTTCCCGGTGATGTCCCGGATCTACGTAATTTACGTTACTGCTTATGCTGACAAAAGTCGGGCCCCGGGGGACTCCATAACCTCAGCCCCACCCCTGCCTGCATTTTGCACGACACAAGAATCCACTTTCCAGACCAGGCCATTCAAACCTCCCCCATACAGAAATGGCTGAGACTGAAACTTCAGGGCATCAGGAATCCCTCTCTCAGGTGTCCGGACTTGGCAGGATGGGTCTCATTATCTGCGGTTCTACCATGCGCCACATCCATGATACCTCTTTCGCTCAATCCCAACACCCCAATCCCTTCAACACCAGCTCCAATCCTCAGTATTCATCTCTACCCAACCCCAGACCATGGGGAGAAATGCTTCGCCGTAATTCTTCAACACTCATAACTCCGTAGGCTACCGAGAGGGCCACTCGGGTACGGTACTGTGCTCGGCCACAAATCACTTGTAGGTGCCAGAAACGAGTGATCACGGATGAGCCTTTCTCGGACTCAACGAACTAGCCGATCCAAAGCCGGGCCCTACGAAGCCAGCCTGGTGGTGCGCTCACCGATCGTTGGTTCGGGCGGAGATTGCGATAGCTCGGGCAACGAGAAATCTTTTCAGAGTATGATATTGCACAGTGTCATACCGTCTGTTCTCGCTTTCGACAATCTCCGCCAGACCTCTAATCTCTGTCAATCCCCGCGTTAGCCCACAATGCTGCTAGTTAGTCTAATGAGATCCAACACAAGCCCAGGCGTTTCCCGCACCCGGACATTAACTTGGCAGCCTCGAGGAAAGCGAATAAATAATACACCGGAATTTTGGCAGTTTCTATTTTGAGCTCTCGACGTATAGTGCAGTATATACTGAAATGGGGTTCAATTAAGGTTGCCTTGGAAGATTTCCCGCCAATGTTTCGTTTTCGGTAGTCTCACCGCTCGATAAAGGGGTAGTCTAGCAGAGCGAGGTCCCTGTGAAAGTCAGGGTTCAGTCTTTCAGTCTATGATACGATGCTCTAATGTGATAGGCTCGTGCTCGGTCAATCCGGGGCATTTGCGCAGCCGAGACCGGGATGAACGTTAAATATTTTTCCCGTGCCGTAGAGTTCTTGCTGGGTGACCGGCACCATAGGATAGCCACCACCCTCCGCTACCCGAGTACTGTACCGGTATCAACCGGTAGATATTTTATTCTTCGCAGTGTCAAGAGTTTGTCAATATGATATACTGTACGAGTACAGTACTTACGAGTACTTGTGTCACTATTAACCGAGAAAAGTAATTTGAAGCAGATCGCAAGAACCGAGTAACAATCTTGTCGTTTGGATTGTTAAGCATGACACCCCCGTCATGATACTACGATAATACGGTAGATGTCAGACTGGGTTTGTAGTGACACCCGCCACCAACTAATCCCTAAGTACTCGAGTAATGAATGCCTTGTGGTGAGCGACACTAAATATCTGTAAATACTAAGTAATCACCAGTGAAGACTAGCTTTGTAATCATTTGGGTGGGATTTGGTAAGCTACATACAGTATCAAACCCCCAACAACCAGCCTAACTTATACCCCAGCTTGGGTCAATTCTACGTAACCAACTCTCTAATGCTCCGTCGTATCCTTCTTCCTTCCCGCCCATACACTCTTCGCAAACACATTAGATTCTCAACAATGACTGGAAACGCACAAATTTTTGGACTTGAAGCTGGGGTTAAGCGGAATCCACATGTATGCCCCCCCCCCCCCACTCCTCCGGCGGAAAGAGAGAAAGAGAAAGCAATTGATTGGCTAACAGCAATAACTCACCCATTCAGCCAGACTTCAAATCCGTCGAATCCTCCCGTCCCCCATTCGACAAAGGCACGAGCTTCACCTACACGAAGACCATAAAACCAGACTGGGTCCCGGGCTCAGGCGCTAACAATGACGACTGGAAGAACCACAAAACTATCGAGATCGATCCCTACGGCGAGGGGAGAAGGCCGGTCGATAACTACAAACTTTTGATTTCGGGCATAATTCCCAGACCTGTACTCCCCTCCTTTCCATTGCCCCGCGAACCCATAAAACAAACTAATGAATTCCCGAAAAGATTGGCTTCGTATCAACAATCTCCCCCGACGGCCTGAGCACAAACCTCAGCCCCTTCAGTTACACCGCCCTGGTGAACCACGACCCCCCAATTTTCTGCATTGGCTTCAGCGGCGGAGTGGATAATCCAAAAGACACCTGCAGGAACATCCTCGAGACGAAGGAGTGCACCATCAACGTCATCAGCGAGTTCTTCCTGGAGGCGGCAAACTACACGAGTATTGATGCACCGCGTGGGGTCAGTGAGTGGGCGCTCAGCGGGTTGACCCCGGCAAAGAGTACAAAGGTGCGGCCGGATAGGGTCGCCGAGAGCGTGTTTAGTACCGAGGCGGTGTATCGGGCTCATCATGAGTGGGTTAGTCCAGGGAGTGGGAAGGGTTCTGGGGTTTTGGTCATTCTTGAAGGTGTGTGGTTATATCCCTTCCGAATTGGTTCAGTGGATGATTAATGGGTGGATGGGGCGTTCTAGGTGTCAACTTTCATGTCCGTGAAGATGCCCTCAACGCGGAAGGCAACATCATTGACCCTGCGGTACTCAAGCCCGTGAGTCGCTTGGGCGGGATTTCATACGCCAGGACTGTGAGCGGGTTCGAATTGCCCAGACCTGAGTTTAAGAAAGAGGTCGAGAAGGAGGAGGTTAAGGGGCTGGTTAAGTCGAAGGCCGAGGGGCAGTAGATGGGCATGATACAATGCGAATGTTGTAACATGCCAGTTTAGCTTAGAAGGTATAAATGAGATAGATCTCTATCAATAGAATTAACCAATCATGGGTGGTGACTATAAGCTTGTGAGGCGATGGATGGATGTGATCTCCTAAAGCTAGTGTCTCGTACTCTATGAATTATGTATCGTCTCTTGTCATAGCAAACCTATCCAGCCCCTGCGCAATCGGCAGGATCTCAGCCGTCCCCCATTGTGGGGGATATCAATCCGGACCGAGTTGCCAGCCACTACACTGGCAATGGAATTAGCCTGGGGCAGGAGGGTGGTCAAATTGAGACTACCTTTTAAGATGAAGTGTTGTTAGAGTGAAGAGTGTATGTATTGTGTATAGGGAAGGCTATTCTGAAGAGATTAAACACAGCAGAGAAAGATGGTGCGTATAGCCTACATAGAATATAGGGTACCCAATACGTGTGATGAATTCAAACTGAAACCTGATCACAACACCTCCAGGATATATCATACAGACAACAGACAGCATAACTATTAACTCTAACATCACTGATTAGGATATCAGCAGGACGGGCTCGACCGCTAGCTACCTCTTCAGTCACCAATATGAAATTCCCTTTCCGATCCTGGACCTTATAGTTAGTCAGATGTACCCGCGATAGAAGCACGAGGACACGTGCCCCAAAGGGGCGTGCAAGCGGGACTCTGGTAAAGCGCTATTGGATAAAACCCAAGAATGGTAGACACTGTGATCCATAATAATTACAACGTACGATAAGTTAATGTGAAAAAGTAACATTTTTTCAAAAAAAGAAAGAAAGAAAGAAAAATGGTTTTCCTCCCTCCCTCATTTTTCTTTCCCGGTTTTTATATAATATTATTATTATGATATCATACAACCTCAGGGCTCTAAATGGGCTGGAGAGAGAACCTTACCCCGTCCCCGTGGTAAACGAGGATTTAAACAGATCCCTCGTAAGAGCCAAGTCGAGTATCGTAACATAAGCCTCCATGAAGCCTTAGCCATCCACGATTTCGAAAAGGATGGGGGGCGGCAGAAAGATATGTACATATGATATACTACAGTAGAAGGACCAGCTATATCGCTCGAGCACAGCGCATACCCTAGCGAGGCTTTTTTTTTTTTTTTTTTTAAAGCCCAAAATCACAATCGGTAGTCTAGTCATGAATAATCACTCGAGTATCTATCCTTCAAACATCACATCACGGTGGGCAACCGACCGGCACCGCGCCGAATACGGTACGGGACAGTGCGAATAAGCAATGAGCGAGGGCGGGGATGTTCGGCGGATGGGCTTTTTGGTATAGTTATCGAGTGATGCACCCACGCTTGTCCAAAGGACATCGGTAGGTTGGAATACCCGGAGTTTGAGTTTGGGTGGTCCATGAGCATAAATTTCGAGGGGATACTGTATTAAATTCGCCAAAAGCAATCCCAAATTGAGAAGAACAGGTACTCGAGTAGCACTCCGAAGAACGGCAAAAACTAAACCTCGTAGCCGATGATCTCTAACTTTAGTAAGTAAGGCAGACCTTTTTTTATAAAACTCTTGATAGATTGTGATCGTGTGAGATCAATTATCGGATCCTCCTCAGTCTGAAGGCCTGGCTGTGATTTCTTTTCGCCTCATTGGTTTGAATTCGACCTTTTACCCTCGGCCCCCTAGACATTTTTTCCAATCCCCCTGCGCAGGGAGGATCAGATTTCACGTTGGATTACCTATATGCTAAGGCGTCTATTCGATAGGCACTCAAGTACAAGTGCCGGTAACTGTACTCGTACCCCTGCGGCCAGGTGGGAGTCGCGCACCAAGTCACAGAAATTCGCGAGTGGTCAAATCACTAGAAAAGGTACTCGATACCGGTATCATATCTTTGCTCTCTCTGGTTGGCTGGCAGGGGACTGATACCACCAGAAAGTGACTCCGACTCAGTCGCCAAAATCTGAATCCCGCCCCCGAGGTATAGCCGGCAGTGGGAACCACTCTCCTCTGACAGTCTCGGCGACAAGGGAATTATGTTAACAGCTATCTATCGCCCATAGACCAAATCCCCTAGCGTCTCTAGTAATGCTGAGAGGTCATGACAAGTAAGTGCAATTCACAAGATACAAACAGGTCGTGGTAGAGAACTTGTGTTTGCATAGGTACTAGAAAGGGCCCGGAACGGACTTGCGATTTTGGTGAGTGGATTACCTAGCGCCCGCTCATTGGTGCTATGATATAATAGATCAGACGGAGCAAGTGCGCTCCTCGGGGCGGAGCGGCGCCTAAACACCCACAAAAAAACCAGTGGGGAAAGCACAGTCGACATGACTAGTTCGGACAAATATTAAACTACAGAGACCATTTGAGATCTCCTTCCCCTCTCATCAAGGATTCACGATCGCCTTGCTTAACACTAGTGCCCCACCGGTAAGTTTGATTGGGTGGCTCGAATGCTCCGGATTTTGGCGTCCCTTGGCGTCTCTCTCGTGTTGCTGAATTATCTCTACCAAAGCTTTGAACAGCAAGTTCACGTACAGTACTCGATCGAGCATGGTCTATATACATAATTCTACTAAGGTCACATGATGACCAAACTTTTTACATGTTAACCCTCTCTTAAAAGGGCAAAGGGTAAAATTTCAGGCATACTAATTTGATGCTCTAATATTTCAAGCATGAAATAAAGAGCTACAGGCATCATATATTAGACCAAAATTGAAGCAATATTGTTACCATGGTAGTGGATAGTCCTTCCCTATTTCAATTGTTATCAACTACCTTCTACCCATTCTTGAATAACATGTACAAACAAATTCAAATACAGGTTTAAATCTCAAACTAAATTCTGTTTTCTGTAAAGTATTTCTCTATGTTTATTAGCCTTTTTTTGTTCTTGATTTGTTTGTGATTTCAGGGTGCATTTTGCCTTTTCTGATAGGCTGAAATACAAGGTTTAGAATCAGGATTGCGACAGCACGCTACCATCTTGTAGGATTGAAATTTTTCTCAAGCTTGTAGTGTGTCCTTCATAACTTAAACATTGCAACCACAAAGCCTCATGATCGTATATCTCCCACGTTCAAAAAAAGCTCTCTTGGTAGTGAAAACTATGGTCTCTGGGAAAGCAAAATGGATTGATGAGATGGTGCATACTATGCTAAGCTCACTATTACAGTCAGTTAAAGAAGGAAAGTGCGGAGAAAGTGGTTTCAAGAAGGAAGTCTTGCAGAAGACTTGTATCACTGCCAATACTGTTTATGAAACTAAGCTCAATCTTACTCAATGTAAGACAAAGTATGCTTTAATGAGTATTCCTCCATGAGGCATCTATAATAGTGGAACAGTTAATAGTATTTAAATTAAAAAGCTCAAGGCAGACTATTGTATGTTCTGGAAGTTGAAAGAGAACTTAGACTTTGAGTGGGATGAGGGGAGGGGTTTGCCAACCATAGCAGAAGGAGTGTGGGACGAGTATATTACCAAATACCCAAAAGCAGCAAAATTCCATCAAAAAGCCTTCTTGTTCTATGCTGCGATAAATGAGATTTTCTCTGGTCATACAGCAAATAGCCTATATATCTCTACAGCAGCAGAGGCTATTAGAGAAAGGGTAGAGTAGCAGATAGGGTCTGATAATTCTGGTAGTAGTAATATACCGACTGCTGTGAATATTATATTTAGGAGAGAGGGGGGGAAGGAGAGTAGACCAAAGGAGATAAAAATAATGCCTGTGGGATATATAGAGAGAAAAGGCAAGGGAAAGTACATCTTAGAGAAGAAACTCGAGAGTTCATCAATCATTCAACCAAAGTGGGAAAGGAATAGAGCTGGCATTACTATTGCCAATGCACTTGAGAAGTTTAATGCATCTGTAAGTTCAGCTCAGATCAGCAAGTAGAAAGAGGTAATTCAGGACCTGCAAGTACGATATGGTGATATTTTGAGTATAGAAGACTTGGTTGATGCTATGAGTGTGATGGAAAGTGAGATAAAGGCACAGCTCTACTTAGTAGCATCAAGTGAGCTGCAAGAAAGATGGCTTGATCAGGAGATTCAAAAATTGTTGAATTAGACTCATAGTTGTAA